AGTTTCAGACTAAAGTGAGCTGATGTTACCCAAGAGAGAAAGGGAAAATGGCCACAGATACAAAACTACAAAGAGAACAAAAAACTACGAACATAAGATAACAACAGATGACAAAACATAACTACAAAGACATGGAAAACAACTTCCAACAACACAGGAAAACTACAAATTACATAAAACAATTATAAAGACAGACAATAATGGCTAAAATGGAGAGGCAAAGAGACACAACATGACCACGAAGAGACACAAAGTTACACAGAGACACAAAACGACCACAGAGAGAAAACAAAAAACACCTTCAGAATGACGACAAACAACAAAAATGAGACATAAAACAACAACAAACAGACACAAAATGGCTACAAAGAGACACAGAGACACAAAACGACCACAGAGAGAAAACAAAAAACACCTATAAAACAACTGCAAACAACATAAAACAACTACAAAGCCACACAAAATTACTTCAAGCAGACACAAAACACTACAGAGGTAAAATAAATATGGTCTAGAATAAATATCTAGTGTGTGCACAAGCTCTTTACAGAAACCAAGTATGTAAATGTTGAGTGAGAACTGATAAAAATGTAAAAAACTATGATATGAGTTTTTCCTCCAAGAGCAGAAATATTACACCCAACAAGAGCCCATGCATCCAGGCCATCGTCTTTCCCCCTCAAACAATCCCATTCCGTGATAGGAGGCGAAGAACATACAAGAAAGCATACCGTGAAGTCAATTTCCCAATTATGTTTCATTTCCTGTCGAGCCAACACACTTTTACACCGTCATAAATCATAGGAAATATCAGTCACCATAAATCATACATGGAGATTTAAATCAGCTGTTTGTATAATCCGCTGCCTGTATCTCAGATGGGCTAATGTGTGGAAATGTGTGATAATTAAAGCCAGGCGCTCCCTCTGTGGGGAATAGTGTTTCCCAATGTCCATTTAACAACACTCTGCTCAATACCTCCTTCAGCTTGTTACAACTGGGCTTACAGGGCGGCAGTAGCACAGATGAATTATGGGACCCGTTGATAAAGACCTCAGGATTTTGTGATCAGAACTTGACTTTTGAAGGATTTTGAGAAAGATGGTTGAAACTCACTTTTATTTTTAACCTAAATAGAGTTCAATGTATTGTGCCATGATCAAATCAAATTTTTAATTGGTCCAATTATTATGTTTAACCTGCAAAGCTAATGACAATTCCATTAGCCTTAGCCGGACCTTGTGCTAATTAGCAAATTTTAGCATGCAAAAATGCTTGAACATGGTAAACGTTACACTTACTTAGCATTAGCATGTTAACATTGTCATTGTGAGCATGTCCCTGATGTTAGCATTTAGCTAAAAGCTGCATTGTGATACCATATACCTGCAAAGCTAACTACACTCCCATTAGCCTCAGCTGGATCTTGTGGTAATTGGCAAATTTTAGCATGCTGAAATCCTAACATGCTAAGCATTATACCTACTTAGCATGGTGACATTGTGAGCATGTTACTGATGTTAGTATTTAGCTCAAAGCAGCATTGTGACTAAGTTCAATCTCAAATAGCTGCTAGCATGCTCTGGACCAACATGGAGGACTAACTGACGACCAGATACCTGCAAAGCTAACTAATCTCCCATTAGCCTCAGCTTGACATTATGTTGATGGGCAAATTTTAGCATGCTAAAATACTTGAACACAGTAAACATTATACCTACTTAGCATTAGCATATTAGCATTGTCACTGTGAGCATGTTATTGATGTTAGTGTTTAGCTCAAAGCAGCATTGTGATAGGTACAATCAAAATACCTGCAAAGCTAATCTCACTCCCATTAGCCTCAGCTTGACTTTGTGCTATTTGACAAATTTTAGCATGCTAAAATGCTTGAACACGGTAAACATTATACCTACTTAGCATGTTAACATTGCCGTTAGCGTGCATGGCGACCAACACTGACATCCATAGAACCACACTGCTGTCCAAGTAACATGCTCAGTGCTCAGAAGCGATATGCTCACATGGATATTCATCTCAGGGTGAATTTTTTAAAGTAGGTCTCAGGCTGGGAAAACAAACACTCTGGATGCCTCTTATCTGCGACTGGCATTTGTTGCTAAATTTAGGTCTGTCAAGTCTGAGTGAATGGGTTCCTTTCCGCATCTGAAAAGAATGAGCTGATTGTTAACCAGCACACAAATCACAGGCGCCATAAATCTCAGTGTTTAACCAAACATATGTTTCATTCAATTCAAACACAAAAAAACGAGATAAACAAAATATAAATCTAAAGTTTACACCTCTAGATGTGATAATTGAACCTGAAAATGTGTAGTTTTTGAGTCAATGAAAGTAAAGAGTTCCCAAACTCTTTAAAACTTGAAAGTGTGGGCAGAAGAGCTGTAGTAGGATTAAAAGAGCATTTGCAGAACAGTGTTGATGTTCTCAAGATCCTGTCTTGAGAGTCGGTTTTAATACAACTGTAAAATGTCCTCAAACGGTCTGCAGTTTGTAAAACTTAATCCACGAGTCCTGATTTGAAGCAGCAAGATAGCAGCTAAAAAGTAATTTTTTTTATAACTCCAGTCCTGCTCTGCCTCTCCCCACCTTCGCCTTGTCAGTTCAGGTTTTGAGAGAGGGGGCAATACCGCTGGCATGCCTCAGCTTTGATTAAAGGAAATGCTTACATCACTCCGTCTCCAAGAGAAACAAGCCATTCGCTCTGTGCAGATGGCTTTGTCCAATGGCTGCAGAGCTTTACGAGGGGCAGACAGACAGGTGCACTCGCCGCCGACTGTATGAAACACAGACAGAGACGTGTTGCTGCTGTTGTGTGTGTGTGTGTGTGTGTGTTACGTAGCAACAATAAATCTGCACAGCTTTACAGATTGTCAGGTTCTCCCCTCAAATCCTGTGCTCTTAATGAGTTAAGGTAGGGGTTCTTAGTCTGCAGATCGGGGTCCAAAACGGGCTGCGAGGCTGTGTCTAATGGGTCATGACCTCAGGAGTGTGGCGGTATCTTTAAACAGACTGTATGGGTCTGGGCTGTAAAAGCTTCAGAAACCCCTTGACAAAGTGGTGAGACACTTTTCATTGTATTAAAACCATTTCACCACTTTGTTTCCTAGTTGGTACCCGGTATCATTAACTTCTTTCCTCTAAAATACCTGGTTGTTTCTCCCTTGTTGCCCACAGTTATCGTCTGTACCTACATTTAAGTATTAGTTGTAGTCTGTAACTATTTTTCCATCAGCTTATTTATACATTGAAACTGCCCTGTAAATTTCAGGCTGTATTATCAAAAAAAAAAAAAACATGCGGTACATACTGCACATCTGAATCATATTTACAGGGTAATCGAGTATCATGGACATGTGCATGCTGTAGGCAATTTACAGACATCACATTACATAACTTTCTTTGGCTGGTTCAAATCATTTTCAAACATTAATGAGGCCATGGCTGAGGAGTTGCTTCATGCAGCTTTACTTTAAGTTAGTATCAAACACTCTCCTGTAGGTTCTTCATGGAGCTGTGGTCAGCCTGGATTCACAACGCTCACAGTTCCTCTGAGAAAAATATTAGATAGAAACTCCTCACACGAATCAAACTGTCCATTCATAAGTTCAGTATGTTTGTTTTTCAAAATAAATATAACCAAGTGAAACAAGCAGGGAACAAAACAAAGAGATAAACAGCTGTAAACACATTTTCTTTCGTCACTGTAGGACAGAACTACAGCTTCTTCGAAGCCAACAGGAAGTGAGTGTTTTAGACCGATTCTGGGTAATAAACACTGTTAACTTATAGAATCAAAACTCATTTTTTTTATCTATTTATATTGTAGTTTTCATTTTTCCTTACACTGGGTTTAAATTGTCCAGTGTTAAGTTAAGTTAAGTCAATTTTAAGGTATCAAGAAAACTGATACCGGATACCGGAAACTGGATATCTACCCATTTGCAGTGTGTGACAGTTGTATTTGTTTGTACTGTTTGACCAGGTTGCTGGTGAGAAAGAGATTATAATCTTAAGTAGATTTTTACCTGGTTAAATAAAGGATATAAACTAAGGGTATATACATTTCCTGTTGCTGCTGCTTCACATTAAAAGCATTCCACTGGTGAAACGCAGGTAGGCTTTTATCGTGAAGCTTGTGTTTGATTACTGTGAGTTTGTTTGGCTGCGATGTAAACAGACACGGCAGCTGCTCAGTGACTGTCTGCTGTAGAAAAACATGACAGATGTAAAATTAATACCACACAAACAATGATAAAGAAATGCCGTCTTTAATACCTGTGAGCTCGTTTTTCATCACCTCGCTTGCAGCGGTTCGTTAGACACAACCAAAGAAACGCTGACGATCCAAATCAAACGCAGTCATTCTCGGGTTAAATTGTGATTTGGCATCTGAAAATCTTAGAAATTCCTGCGATAGTTTAGTCTACAGAGCCTTGTAGGGGGGCAAAGGTTCAGACTGATAGGAGTTTGGAGCTCAGTCAATTAGACATTTTTTATTGAAGAGTAGTTTATGCAACTTTCCCACATTTGGAGCAGGTCAGATTAGCACTTCATCACTGGCTGGTATTTATACATCAGAAATTCTTCACATGCTTTACAACAAAAAAAACAAAGTCTGGGATAAGGCATACAGACGACTCCTCATTGTACATGTGAACGGGCAAAGGCACAATGGCAGATAAGTGCTGGAAAAAAGGGCATTTTTTTTTTTTTGAGTATAATTCACTAATGTTTCAATAACATTTCTGTTACACACAAACTTTTTACACCAATCAGGAACGTACAGTAGATACAGATCTGAAGAGAGATAAACAAAAGAACGGGCAGCAAAAACTTTTCATCTGACAGTGTCTCTGTTTGTTTTTTTCAGCTTCTCTCGGACGCACCACCAGCATCAACGTTACACACATGTTTCAGTGAGTGGGCGTCAAAGAGCATCACCTCCACGAGTTTATCTTCCTCTGTTTAGTCTTTAACAGTGTCTAACAGTCTTTGGTATGCAGTCTGTTAGTCCACTTGAGTGTGAAGAATGATGTCTGTTGCATAGCAGTGAGTTCCGTCACAGTCAGCTGAAATAACAACTCTTTTGCTCAGTGTTGATCTGAAAGTTACTTAGAGTTTCTCAAAGGTTAACAAACAAGAAGTCTGTCTTCCCTCAAAGTGAAAGGCAGGAAGTGTCTTTCCCTCTCACCTTTTCTTTGCTACCTGCAGCCGCACGCCTCCACCACCATGTCCTCGTACTGCTTGTAGACGACGTTGTTGGACGAGTCGATGTAGAGTATGCTGATCGGCGTGAGTCGCGTGGGGACGCAGCAGGTGGGCGGCGCCGACTCCGGGTCCATGGAGTTGATCAGGGTCTGTATGATGGCGTGGTTGGTGGGCTCGAGGTGCGAGCGGATGGGGAAGTCGCAGGCGCCGTCGCAGTGGTACGCGTTGTACTCCAGCGGCGCGATGATCCAGTCGTCCCAGCCCATCTCTTTGAAGTTCACGTGGAGGTGTTTCCGGTTGCAGCGCGGCCTCGCCTTCACTACCTGGTGCTGGGGGAGGGACTGCGGCTGCTGCAGAGGTTTTTTAGCCCCCCTCGCCGGAGGAGCTCGCCGCATCCGTCTCTGGGTGAACAGGTATTCGTAGACGGTTTTATTGTCATTGCCTGACCGCGCTTTGATCTCGTTGTAGAAAAGGTCGCGTTTCTTGCTTTTGCCAAACGCCAGGAAGAAGGCCTTTTCCTTGTTGGTCCTGCCGGGCCGGGCGAACCCCAGAGTGCGCAGGTCCATGGGCCGACCGCCTCGGTGCTCCAGGGCCTCCAGTTCAAAGCACAGCTGCTGGGAGTGCTGGTGCTGCTGGTTTTTGAAACCCTTGAAGACTTTCCACACGTCGAACACTTCCCATTTGCCGCCGAATCCGCTGACCAGATCCTCGATGGTCTTCGTCTGGAGCAGAGCACCCTTTTGTTTACCTGAGGTGCAGGTGTACAGCCTCAGGCACGGGGACGGGCCTCCTCCTCCTCCTCCACCACCCCCTTCTCCTCCTCTGCCTCCATCAGAGGCTGTGGATCCCATCGAAGCTTTGCGGGGGTCAGACAGGCGCTTCCTCAGGATGCGAAGCTCGGCCCCCAGGAGCCCGTCTCGTTCCAGGGAGCTGATGTTGAAGTGATACCTCTGCCGTCTCAGCTGGGGCCCGCGCTCGTCTGCGAGGAAGGACAGAGAGAGACAGACACAGAAATGTGAGTTAAAAATTACAGGAGGGCAAACACTTACACACACACACACACACACACACACACAGAAGTAGTAAGTAAAATCACTCGAAGACACACATGTAACATAAAAAGTGCAGGTGCAAACATGACAGGGGTGAAGGAGAGGCCAGCATGTTCACAGGCACAAACAGATGTAAATACACACATGCATACACATGTGGCTTTGCAGATATGAAAACACACACACACACACACACACACAATAATGCTTTTGCAAGCTTTCCCGAAACATCATTGTTAAATCATGTAATATGGTCAGTGAACAGAAAATGAATCTGCAACTATTTTGAGAATCACATAACTGTGTTTTTTAGTCACATTTCTGTTTCAAGCAAAACCAAGTCTTAACCCTCAAACAGGCCTTTGAAGGTGTGTCAGAAAACAAGTGTCCTCACTTTTCAAACATATCCTGAGGATATAAAACTGGTCCACACAAAGATAGTCATGCAAACACACACACACACACACACAAGCACAAAAACAAAAGGAGGAGTGAACTGAATGGTGTGTAATGTTTTCTTTTGTTGTCAGTGAGGGAAAGCAGTGAACCTCCACATCCAAATGGAATCCAGTAATGACACACACACACACACACACACACACACACACACACACACAGCAGCAGCAGAAGCAGCAGAACTTTCTTCTTCTCACGTCACACACCCCCTGTTCCCGTCCAGCGGGACTTCAGCATGCATTGAAAAGTACATTAGAACCAGACAGGGAGACCACATCAGACTGTAAACAGGTTTGTTATGATGGACCTGCAGCTATTCACCTCAGATAGTCACACATACACACACACACACACACACACACACACACACACACACACACACACACACACACTTTGAACGATCTGATTAAAGCTCACAGGAACTTCACATTGCACTGAAGTGAACTGACGAGGTCTTTGATAAACCAAGGGTGTCATGGTGAACAGGTGAGTAAATCTGCATCTTAGTGATCAGTGCAGTTCAGAGAAAAGGTAGCTGTGCTAATGCTAACGTTAATGCTAAGCTAGGTGAGCAGTGAGCAGGAAAAACAGGGAGAGAGAGAGAGAACGGTTCACAGTCAGTCTGTTGTTTCACTGCAGAGAGTCACATGGTCACTGTGTGTGTCAACAAGAAACAGCGATGAGACTCCTGTAACCATGGTAACTGTGCACAACAAATATGGCGACAAATGTAGCCTCACAATGCTTAGAAACACATTAATAAAAGGGTAAAAATGCAGGAAAAAATGAGAGTAAAACATCTCTGATGAAAACAAGACTAAAAGACTTTTAGTTTTTGTTGATTAAAAGTGACAAAATATGAAATTTTAGTTTTGCTGTTGGGTGGATTTCTGCGCCTTATATCACATATTATATGTAGTGAGTTACATAGACATCAGGGGCCGGCTGCACAAAGTTTTCTACTCAAATTCTACTTCTCCTTAGCTGAGGGAGTTACTTCAGGAAAAATGTTAAGGCATTTGCAGCAGTGAAAGAGATTTTACAGCTTTAACATTCTACTGTTTCCATGGAGACCGTTGATTTGCTGCCATTAGCACTAGTGGTACCTGTTGAAAAATAAAAGAAGTGCGCCGCTATCTCATTCTCCTTTTAGTTTCAACAGGAAGTTCAGCAGACGCTAAGAGATTTCAGTTGACTCCTCACGGTTAAAGGTTTTCTCCTGGTCACCAAGCAGTCGTTTTGGGATGCGTTCATTTTCTTTATTTGTCACCATAAACTCAGAGTCAGAGTTACCTTTAGTCTTTTTCCTCACTTTGGTCACTAAGATCTTCTGTGCAACAGTTAAACTGACTTTGAGTGATTCCATAAGTAAAAGACTAAGATGAGGAGAAAACTTTTCAATATTTCAGAAGACTTACGGCTGTTTTGTGCAGCTGTTTTTATTTTTAAGGAACGTTAAGGAAAATCTTAACAACTGACCCCTGTAATTTTCAGTCATGTGACTATAGCTCCTGATCCTGAAACAGTATAATGTCACATGATGTGACTTTTTTCTTTGATTGTTTTTAAGACAAACCAGTAAAATGTATTTGTCATATTGTGGCAGCACATACAGTCAAACTCTGACTTATCATCAATGTGTTAATGTGACAACCATGTGACCGTAGTGTGTAATATGACACTAAGATACACTGGCTGACGTTCAGGCAACGTGGCAGACGAGAGAAGATGTAAAGAAAGAAAGAAAGCAAAGGGGAAAGTGAATGTGACCGAGCGAGGGGAGGGGGGGGAGATGTGTCAGGCCATCAGTTACACCTCCTCCCTGCCCCTCAGCATGCGGAGGAGGTCAGCGGCGATTTGCTGAGGACACGCTAAGCAAATAAAGCCCAAATTAAAAGTACATTAAGTGCTTGAAATGTAAACCTTTAGCGGGACTAGACACATTCAACTGTGGTCATTAAAACATTGTTTTAAACAGTTTTACACCGTAAAGATAACATGAGACAGGAGGGGCCACCCTACTTGTGGATGCGAGGAGTGTTTATTTACCCTCCTGAGGCCGTATATCACTGGAAGCAGCGGCTCTGCCAGTGAATAACCAGATGGCTGGAAACATACACAGAGACACACATGCACACTTATAGACACCAAAATGCAACAGCACACACACACACACAAATACATAAGTATGAATACACACATCTACAGACATGTGCACAAGCGTGTAGTAGCTTAAAGCCCCTGAAAATCAAAGTAAACATCCTTATCATTCAGTTTGAGCAAATAACCCCATAAAGCTGTTTCTAAATCCTGAACGGTGCATCAAGAGCAAAAAGAAACCCACAAATACAGAAATCTGTCATGTAAAATAAGCAAAACTGATTCGACTGCTGCTGGAAATTGTTCATTGCAAGAGAGAAAGTATCTGACGTTTGTCACTTAGATGTTGAGACTGACACGTCTCGCTCTCAGGGACCTCAAGCAAGTCCAGTTTGCTTCGTATGGCTCTTAGAGAAACCATGACCCGGATGACATGAACACGTCAGCGTTCAGCTTCCTTCGGTAGGAAGTTTAGTCGCCACCGTCATTGGATTAAAGGTCACATATTGTATAAAGGTAGATGTCCATGTTTTGTTTGATAATAGATCAGGTCTAGCTTCTATATTAATACTGTGAAAGTATCAAAGCCTCAGTCCACAGAGAAATGCACACAGCCTGTATTCAGAAACTGAGCCTTAAAACCAGCCATCAGGACTTCTGGAACTTTGTGATGTCACAACTATACAAGGCCCGCCCAGAATAGAGACTCAGAGCCTCCTCTCTTCTGATTGGCTCACCAACCTGTTGTTACTAGAGCTGCAGAGAGAAGCCTGAGAGAGGAGATGTAAAACTACACTGAGATGGTTTTTGGTTCTTAAAACCACAAATATATCTTCTTATGTATCAACACATCAAAATAAAACACAGAAGAAGAAGAAAATATGGCGCTTTAAACAAACGTGACGTAACCTGTGAGTCAGTGAGCTGTGCAGGAGCTGGTAGGTGTATTTTGTTCCCTTCAGACAGAGCCAGGCTAGCTGTTTCCCCCTGTTTCCACTCTTTGTGCTAAGCTAAGCTAAGCTAAGCTAGCTCCACATCATGAGAGTGATATCAACCTGAACTTCTAGCTCTCCGCCACAAAGCAAACAAACGCACTTCCCAAAACGCTGAACCGCTCCACATGCCGGTGACATTTACATGTGCGATAGTTCACTCTGGAGCTCGCAGCAGCTTCCTGCAGCTTTGAAGTCAGTTCCAGCGCAGTTATGAGTAACAGAGTCATCTCTTTTCCCATCGTTCCCTCTGCGTTCGAGCGGCTGACCCTCCTGACTCCCCTCCAGATGCTCTCTCTTGTTCTAACTGCTCTTACCTCACAGACCCATGAACACAGACGTGTCTGCGTTTGGAAAATTTACAGTGTTCCCCGCACCGCCCACCTCCAGGAACCTCCAGACTGGGGTTTGACCTCTCAGTCCTCTCCCTCAGATCTCCCAGCTCTCCCCTCCATGCTCTGCCTCAGTCCCAGCCCTCCGCCTCATCCACATGTCTCAGCACTCTCCTCTGACCTGTCCCTGGATCAAACGCCGCTGTGGCTCCTGTGTGTGTGAGTTTTCCTGACTAATCACTCAGTTAAAGCACCACAGCTCCTCTGCAGCGACTCATATCAACCCAAACAATAAGTAGTTGCAATCCTTAGGTGATATACTTCTTCACAGTTGCCAAATGTCAAGGAGAAATAAGCTCTCAGACCAGTAACATGCACTTCCTCTAATGCTGAGGCAATGGCGTTGACAGACAGCTCCATTAAACAGGCTGTGGTCTATATATCACCTGAATGTTGCCATGGAGATGTTTAAAGGAAATCTTTGAGAAGCACATTCAGTAGGTTTATTCCAAGAGAATTAAGATCTGGTGTGTGTGTGTGTGTGTGTGTGTGTGTGTGTGTGTGTGTGTGTGTGTGTGTAGGTTTACTTTAACTGAAGCTTGAATTTCAATTCACAGAAATAACTTAAATAACATATTGAAGGTGGAAGCTTTTTTCCTTCAGATGACTCCAGAGCCATTTCCTCTACGTGGAAGTTCAACGTGATTTTAGAACCTGAAAAAACTTTATATGAAACTGTATAAATTTGTGATTCAAAGACTCAAACAACAGCATGAGAAAAACTTGAGGCTGAAAGAGAGAGAACTCACAGAGAGGTTGTGTTTACCTTGTCCTTTATCCACGAAGCTGGTGATGGTGTTGGCCAGACCCGCTTCATGCAGAGCGCTGCTGTTCAGGTCCCCGGTGGACAGGGACCAGTACAGCGACAGCATGTAGTCGTGAGGAATCACCAGCGGCTGCTTGTGATGCGCCTCCCGCTCGCTCAGTTTCAGGGCCTTGTAGCTGGATCCCCGCTGCGCCACCGGAGCCGCGTGTTGCTGCTGCTGCTGCTGCTGCTGCTGCTGCTGTTCCTCCTGCACAAATGTGGGTCTGTGTGGAGGCGCGGTGCGCTCCGGAGCAACAGCTGCTGCTGCTCTCGCTGCAACTTTCCCAAAGTTTCTTCCCGGCGAGCCGCCGCCTCCACCTCCACCTCCACCTCCACCTCCACCTCCACCTCCACCTCCAGCAGCCGCAGTCCTGACTCCTTTCCCGGCTGCATGTGCGCTAAAAGCCGCGGGAGCGTGCGCTTTAATGTGACCGTCCCCACCGGGCAGCCAGGAGCGCACAGCTTCTTTGCGCCCCAAGCTGAGCGCTCTGTCTCGGTGCTGCTGCTGCTGCTGCTGCAGCTGTGCACGGTCTACCGGCACGGCCCCGCCGCGCAGTGCCGAGGATGAGGACGCAGATGCCACCGCAGTAGCTGCGCCTCTAACAACAGCCGTCTCACCCTTGATCAGCGGCGGACCTGCGCGGATACGCGTGATCCTCGCCGGACTCACCGGTGACGGTTTCCACGTCCCAGTCCCGGTCACCGGTTGTCTGCCTGCTGCGAATGTGGATCCCCCGCCGGTTCTTCCCTGGGCTTGCTCTGCGTCCCCGCCGCCTGCCTCTCCAAGCCGGTGGTGCTGGTACTCGCTCGGTCTGGCCCGGCTGAGAGAACCGAGGACGGGGTGCAGGTAAATGAGAGTCCAGCAGCTCAGCAGAAGACAAAGACGCTTCACAACTTTCATCCTAAAGCCCTTTTGCCTTCGGCCAGGCCGTCATCGTAGTAAACCTCAGTCTGTTCAGAATTACTGGACCTGTTCGGTTAAAAGAAGGAGAGGGAGCAGTCCGGTTCGGTCCGAGTCCTTCATCCTCTGAGATTCCTCTCTGCTCTGTCAGAGGGGGGAAGAATAAAAAGCGCTTTTCCCATCTGAAATGGACCCTGGACATATGCGAGGCTGTAAAAGCAAAGATGTGGACTATAACTGGGTTTTATTAGTTGAAGAAACAAATCCTGCAAACCCTCATTCTCCCATCCGTCATGTGTAAGAACCATAGTGCTGCAGAGATCCCGCCTGCGAGAGAAAGAGCAGAAATCCAGGAGGAAAGAGTGGACTCGCATTAAACACTCCGCGGCTCTATTCTGCTGGATATCTTGTAAGAAACTTCTTTAAATCCCACTTTTTTTTCCAAGAGAGGCAAGAATGGCGTAATGCCGCTGCCTCCGTTTTTTTTTCTCTCTCTCTCTCTCACTCTCTTTCCCCTCAAAGTTTGAACTCCGTCCAGTGAAAATATTTCACTCACACACCAACCTGCAGGTGCTCGAAAAAATCCTCCAACAAACCTGAAGCGCAGGAATTGGAAACGGAATTCCAGAAAGCCGTTTTAATTACCCCGTGATGTCATGCTGTCCAAAGTCATTTAACAGCAATATTTCTTCTCAAATCTTCCTCCCCTCTTTCCACCAATGACTCACTCAGGCTGTAAGACTAAATGGCACAAACCAGAACCCCCCCCCCCCCCCCCTCCACACTCACCCCCCAAGAAAGAGAGAGAGAGAGAGAGAGAGAGAGAGTAAAGAAAAACTTTGCAGTCTGTCACTTGAAGTGAGTCGTTTTTTTTCTCTTCTACTTTCTGTAAACAAAAAGGGGGAGGGGGGGTGTCAGGTGAAGTCAGGGTTACACACACACACACACACACAAATTATTCATTTAATAATATCCCATTACAAATAGGCTGAAAGTCCAGCATTGACATTTTTTTTCTTAATTGTTAAAAAGTAAGAATTAAAAGTATTCACCAGTGACTCAGCACTTCTAAAATCTAGGCTGCAACTTTCCACTGTTGTTTTGACTCATAACTTCACTTTCAGACACTTTATCTGTGTAATTATTTTATTTATTTTAAATATTTTATTGGTGAAATATCATGACAGTGACCTACAAAAATAAAACATAAAGATATAGATATCTAGCTATAAATATACATATATATCGACAACTGAATTTTGAGCCGTAGATTTCTTAGTTTGAGATGTTCACAACGACAGTGAAGATATATTATTTAAATGAAATTATCGTTGGTCAAAACTACACTAAAGATTAAAATAAGATATCTGGAATTCACATTTCATATAGGAAAAAGTAACTGTTGAAATGTGTAATTAGCTTTTCAGTTCAACTCAAATTTTTATTCATTTAAATGAAAATGTAATTAGAGCTCCATTCATGGTCCCCAGAGGATGAACCAAACTGACTGATGATTCTCCGGCTTTTCATCTACCTGCAAAACTAATGACATCATCATCAGCCTCACCTGGACCTTCGTGATTAAAATGTTGACAGGTGACAGGTGAGCTCTGATGTCACAGATACACACAGACAGGTGACAGGTGAGCTCTGATGTCACAGATACACACAGACAGGTGAACTCTGACGTCATAGTGAGAGATTTTAAGATCAGGAGATAAATGAGAAAAGTGCAAAACACAACTGTTTAATTTGGAAATCTGACAAAAGAAATGAGATTAAACCAAACCTTCGTGCTAAACATTAGCATGTTAGCATTGTCATTGTGAGCATGTTAGCATTTAGCTAAAACCACCGCTGTGACTCGGTGCAGCCTCACAGAGAGGCAGATGTCTGGGTGTGTGGCTCCTGGGACAGCTTTACCCAAAAAAGGGAAGTCCTCCAAATTAAAAGCATTAATAATGATTCATCATCATTGTCCACCACTGTCCAAAGCCTAATGTGTTGTTGTCTCACATTCCCCTTTGTCCAGTTATGGTATCTAAGCTAGCTAACAAGCTAAGTAGCAAAATTTTTATTATTATCATTACTTGACTATTTTTCAACCGCTTCCATGGCTAATTCAGGAAGACACGAGCGGTTTGGCGCCCACATGGGTGCTGCCATGGCAACTGATGCCTGTTCTGCCAGTCACTACCTCCGGCGAGAGGCTGGTTTCACATAGATAGACTTTAATTATGGCTTAAATATACAACGGATAGTCAGACTTCAGATAGACGTCTGGGGGTTAGGTGTCTACTTTTTTTTGGCTTAAAGTAAGTCAGTCTTTTTTTATATATAGATATAGATATATATAGATAATTTTTATTGATTTTTAACAAACAGACAAACATACAATACCCCCACACCAGACAGCCTATAGCACACACACAAAATAAATAAATAAAGTAAACAAAAAAAAATCAATCAATTAATTGATGAATAACAAACAAATAAAATGAAATAATTAATAAATATTGACAATACTTGAGATTGAATAATGTATTTTTGTGAAACAGTCTTACTTGCATTAGACTGATCAGTTGAAGCTGGTCTAACACTGCAGACCAGTCTGAGATATCTCTGTGAGAGTCCGCAGTATATCCTCCGGCCTCGTTTTGGATTTTAATATGGCCATTAGTTGAATAAGGGGAATTTCCTTCTTTACTCATAACAGACAGGACACATAAAACTTCAGACTACAGTCGCTGCACTTGAACGTATTGAATCTCTAGTCTTCATCCTCACGGACTCAAAAAAGAAACAGAGTCAGCGCTTATGAACAGACAGGTCACAGAATCAGGTTTTCAAACATGGCCTTGTGAACATCCACGTTTACATTCTCCACTTTTCTTTTCTTTTTTTTTTTTTTTAATTTTCCTTCCTCCGCTGGAGGACGGGGGGCCTTTGGTTTTGATTCTAAAACTCTTTGCCAGTTTAATTTATGATGCCACAAGGAGCGCCAGCGTCGTGTCATAAATTTAGTTTAGACCAAGCTCGAGGAATAATTAGCAGCCAGAAAGCTTGGGTTCAAATCTGGATATTTTGGCAGCGGCGCGGGGTCTCCGGTGGTTTGTAACAGGAGCTGGTGTTCTGGTGCGCAGTGTTTCTCTTTCCCTCTCTGTCTCTCTCTTGACTCCCTCTCCCTTTCTCTCGATCTCACCGTGCAGCTCGGCATGAGGGCGTGATGGATGAACAGAAGTGATTGGATAATATGAGGCTGTCACAGATCACACATAAAATCAACCTGATCCAGTCAGTTCGACTAAACAGCTGAAGGATGTGAGCGGCGGCGGCGGCGGCGACTGGGCCGAGGGGCTGCGGCTTCGTGTTTGCTTTAATTGTAAATTAAACCGCGGTGTAAAACATCTCCGCTGCATTAACAGAGTCCGCTGTTGTTGTGCCCCCCCCCTCCTTCTCTCTCTGCACATGTATCCAGCTCTTTCAGTTTGTAGTTTGTAATTTCAGCTGCCTGACTGACTTTATATGCAGATAATTGTGGCTAAAAACACATTAAGAACCACAAGTCAAAACATCAACTGTCTTTGATTTTGAAGTTTACAGCTACACAAGCAAAGAGAGTTGGACAGAACACTACACCATTCTTACTGGCCTAATAGTTAGCATTTTATCATCTATGGTTCCCTCGTCCCCGAAGTCCGTGGGTTTCTGGTTAGATACCTTTAAAAAGGGTCTCTGGTTCATTTCTTTTCTGCATTTTATTCTACGATTTTACGTCTTTTAAAAAAGGACAGTTGCTAACAATTCGTTAAATGAGACTACAGCGGTTGTTGGGGACGTTAAATGTCGCGCTCTTGCAAACTATCACTAACTCTGAGAGAGGAAAGGCTTTTGTAGAAGAGGTCAGAGTTAAGTTCAGTGGTGGTGACGCTGAAGTCGTGTGACCGTGGTGCAGTTTGTTTATAGCCTAACATTAACGTTTTACTTCTGCTGATTGTATTAAGGCTTCAAAAATCATAAAAGTGGTTTCATTTGTGAAGATGATCCTGCTGAACAAGTATCTCAAAATGTTGTTCGTCCAAAAGCCAAAGAAGAAATCCCATTAGCTTGTTGTCGAGGGGAACAAGGATGATGCTAACTTCCTGGCGCTCCTTTGGGTGAAAGTA